AGACGAATTTCAGTGAGGATGGGTTGATGGGGCATCGTTGAGGTGGGTCAAGATGGTTCAAGATGAGGGGATTTATTTGCTCATTGGTGGCAGCGTGCTCATCTTTCAGCTGCTGTGGGCATCAGATTCTTTGATACTGGTTGCGTGATGGGTGAGATATCTTTTTTTGACTGGCAGATGGCTAAGTACTCAGCATCACAGACCAATACATATGATCCTTAGGTATGGGGGATATCTTGATCTTCTCCCGTGATTGAGGTACAAGTGATCAGGATGGACAAACATCTTCGTCACGAAGGCTTGCTAAAACACGGTGGATTCCGACCTCCCTGTAGACACACTGCATTCTGAATTCAGGGAGTTTGCACAGACACGGCTTATTCCGAAAGCGTGCGTCATGGAATGGACAGCTCGGCAATTGAACTTGCGGCGACATCTCGACAGTGTCTCGTGATTTACCAGGTGACTTATCAAAATGGATTGATCTGACACACAAAAGTTGGTGTATGTTACGGTATAGGATAAATCTTGTGCATCAACGACTGTCGGATATCAAATCGGTGTCTCTTCTGTTATTTTGATAGGGGCAAGTCTCGGCTTCACAAGCTGTCAAGGTTCCCCAGCTTGAGCCTCGACTTCAATGACAGTTTTCCACACCCTTGAGTAGAGGTAAATAATAGAGCGGCCAACTAGTACAATCATCTGCATGACCCTGACTGCACCAGCCATGCAAGGCTCAGACTCAATTCGACTTCAAGCACTGAAGAGGTTTTAAGCATAAGAGTAGTCTTTTTCCGTAGAAGCTATCCAATCACGCACTTTATTCAGTATCCAGGGATTTAACTGGTAAGGCTAGTGATACTGCAGCGGGGGGAAATAGTTCTCAATATAAACTCCCCAGGGTCAGGACCTCTGATGGGGAGCGGTTTATAATGGCCCAATGGTCTAGAAGTATGATACGCGCTTCGGGTTGCCCCGGTGTTGCATGATGCCTTGATGGAGCTTGGTTTGGGTGATTTGAATCTTTTGCAGCGTTCATCTTTCGTCTGGAAAGGCGCTTGGCTCGGGCATGAGTATATACAGAAGTTGTAGAAGTAGAAGTGAGATAGTAGAAGTAGAAGTGCACCGAGTAGAAGTAGATGCTGAACCCAGTAAAAGTAGAAGCCACGGCCAGTAGAAGTAAATGCGCGGCATGTGCCGGATATGTGACATTGTGCGACGGAACCCCTATTGAAGCGACGCGACGCGACGCGTTTCCCGATTCGGAATCCAGTGGCCACCTACTGTTAGAATGTATGGCATGCCACCCAAACAAATTGACTGCGCTTTCTACTCTCTCCTCCTCCCATCTGCCTCCCTCCAAGTCTCCGGCCTAGATGGATACCGAAATTAACCCTGCCACCGCACAGAAAATCACTAGAATTGTAGCAGCAGCTGGAGAAGAACGGCTCACAGCATACATAAATCAGGTATATGTATATTCTCTTGTCTTGAGTAGTTATAATCCAAAATTGCAGACATTTCCGCTCGAACTAGTTTCTCTAGGTTACTATACCGCCAAAAATGCTGCAACCTGGCTCGACATTGATCAATGCATGCGGTGGTTGAGCTGTACCATCCAGAGCGCCGCTAGCTCGTCGCCCTCAGCATCTATATCCCGTACCCCTTCCGCTCCTAGGCCGGTGCCATCGTCCACCCCAATCTGCTCTGCCAGTGCTCACTCATCTCTCATCCCGTCCGTTCCTCAAACCCTAAATTCCTTGCACATGAGCTCTTCTCTCCGTCAGGATGTGCCCGATATTCCGGACTCGTATGCAGAAAGTGCAAGCGTTCTACGTCCAAGGTTGACGATGCAATCTCTCTGTCCTCGAATTCTGATTGCAGAGCGTGCATTGAGTCGAAGAAGCACGTGAAACAATCCAAATCCGAGGGACGAGTTATCAATCTAAACAATTGTCCTGCTCAGAGCTTCACCCTCTGACGGATCTTGCGAAACCTTGCTGGACTGTGCCACGGCCAGAAGAGGACTATGCATATCTTCTCAACATGTCGGACAACCCCAGGGAGTGGGTAGTCAAGAAGAAAGAGCTTCTCTCAATGATTGCTATTATTAAATCGGAGGTACTGTAATTCAACTGTCTCGTCTGTATTTGCCTCTGATCATGCCGTTCAACAGGATCAAGATTCTTGGGGCGAAGGCACAGGCGGGTCGATTTCCACACCGACGAATGTGGTGGCACTGGGCGGAGTAGCGTGCCAGGCTGTGATGCACCAATGCCAGGGGGTCTGGATCTGCGACCAGTTCAACCACTCATTGTTGGAGGGCCATGAACACTACGAACCTGACGACGACGTTATGCGCGAACTATGGACAGCTGACCAGGCAGTAAATGTCCGATCTGGAAGACTATATCTACCCATTTTAACTGTATCTATTTTTCTCGTGCAATATTGCACAATTTATCAAGGACAAATATTGGCGGAGAGAAGGGACGGGAATCGTAGTAGGAAGGAAGTATGATATATTTGGAACTATATGAAAATAATTTTCATCCCGAATATTCGCTGAAACTCCCACGTTGACGCGTTTTGGGCGCGACACGTGTCTTGGCAAGCGATCACGTGAGGGCGAGGAGCGTGTTTTCACGCGATGTTCGCGCCCGGCAGCGCCCCGATGCAGTAATTCGATGGTGGAAGGTGTGACAGTAGAAGTAGAAAGGTCAATACATCCCAGTAGAAGTAGGCACTCTGAGTAGAAGTAGAACTAACTCTTAGTAGAAGTAGAAGTAACTTCTACTGAGATTTTATGACGGTAGTAGGAGTAGAAGTAGCTTCTACTTCTACAATTTTGGTCATGCCTCCTCGGGTATGTAGGTGGTAGATGTGCATCGCACGTGATGTGCACAAGGATCCGTGGAGAGAATGGTCACGTGGCAGCAGGCGGGCATGGTCCCAGCGGGGAATCTTGATGCGATGATCCCGGTTGGGCCGGGGGTGCACACAGTACCAGCTGGGGGGCACATGCGTCAGCTTGATGCGATGATCCTGGTTGGGCACGCGATGCATCGGCGGCGCGGGCCTCGGCCGTCCAGTGATCCCCCTTCCTTAGGATAATAGGATAATGGTCCCGGGTTCAATTCCCGGTTGAGCCCCTGTTTTGCTTTTTGCACCGTTCCGCACCTTCCGCTCTAGCCTCTTGACTATTTTGGGCATTCCTGCGCAAGTGTTTTGCGGTTCCCAACCTTTGCCCCATCTCCCGCGGGAACCATGTAAACTGAGCAATGAGGAAGCAAGTTTGACTATTCCCAGACACTACAATAGTGAAGTGTATGCATCTATATGCGAGCTTGTGTCTTATGGTGGGTTCAAGCTACCTGAGCTTGTGAACCTCGTTGACCTACACTCAAGGCAGATAAAGGGAGATGTGAAAGCACCAGGGAAATAAAATGCTAACTTCTAAATTTTCGCTCCTCACTGTCCTACGGTTGCTCGCCACAGCGGACAGGAGGGGATGTCAAGGTTCCCAGTGAAAAGGGAAGTTAAAGTAGTTCACTAAAATAATTTCTAGGCACTATGAAGCAGCAACAATGTCAATTCATCCCAAGTGGTGCGAATAATTTCGAACCCAGCCTGTCATACCAAGAGTAACTGTTAGTAGACAGGCTGGTTGTAAGCAAGATTTTGGGTAGGCAGGTTCGAATCCTAACATTAACAACAATTGAAAACCTATTATTCTGAGACAATCACACCGGGTGTTGGCTCCGTGTAAGGGCACACCACTAATATAAGCTTCTGCGACCCTCATGATATTTTTATTGAAGAGAATTGAGGGAGCAGTCTGTGGCCCGATGTTCCCGAATTCAAACTCAGATCAGTTGGCCTAAACCAGCCCAATATACAGAAACAAGTTCCAAATCAATTAATCGACACTGCCGCTATTCACTCACAAGTTAAAGGACAGTGACCAAGTCTTGAAACATAGCCACCACATCTATTAGCGCAGCCCCTATCCTCTTTACAAACTTGGATGGGGACACTTTTTAACTCACCCGTGAAGCCCTCATATTGATTAAAGATAATTACACAAGTACTCATTCCCAATGGAAGAGCTGTCAGCCAGACAGACAACACTGAAAGGGCACATCAGAAATCAACATGACTGCAGTATGGATTGGGTGAGCTACGACAGGAAGACGGTAAAATAAAAGACAAGTGTATGCTGGTATATGTAAGCAGTAATCAGTCTGTAAACTGGGGCCAGGTTTACACCCAACACTACATGAGAACATCACATAGAGCATGCTGATAAAATGACAGAATAGGAATGTATCCTTGGGGATTCGAATCCCGCTTTCTGCTCTACATTTCGTTAGCAGAATCCAACAGTAGTGTGTTACTGCTACATCAAGGGTGCTTCTTCCGTCAATGGCTGACACAGGAAGGATATCCATGCCAGAATAGCTGTGATATTCTGAGCCGTATTCAAATATTTACTATGACCGTAACTGTCATTCACTTATCCAGAGCAGCAACACATCGCGGGGCTTTTGTTTTGTCTTGTTATCTTGTTTACAATGTCGTTTGTCGGCGTAAAGACAATAAAGGTTTCAATAGGTTCTTAGTGTACTAGAAAGCCATTGTAAATATTTCTCCGTTCCTTCGATATTGTGGTTTGTGGTTATCCCCTTGTGTGAGTGAGGATATTGTCTGAGTGCCCTCGGGATGCGAGCTGTAGTTCAAACTGGGAAATATGACAGGAAAGCAGTGGGGCAGCCAAAATGAGCGTCATCACGAGGGAGAAATTCAATGACCGCAAAATAATGTGCCCTCGGGATTCGAACCCTGGCTCTGCTCCCAATCTTATGCTGTCTATTCACAAGAAAGCGCCGCGTTACCTCTACATAGACCAAGGGCGCTTGCCCGATTCTGGGCTGAAGTGGTGGCAGCAACAAAAAATGATGATAGCATCAACGGCCAAAAAGCATTCATGATGAAACACATGCACCCTCGGGGCTTCAAACCCCGGTCTCTGTTTTATTTATTAAGCGTTAGGAACTCTGCATAGGAACGCAGCGTGTTACCTCTACACCAAGGGTGCTTTATAACTTGATAAAGGGGTCGGTGACAGAACAATCGCAGTCGATGGTAACAACAAAATGAGGATCATCAATAAATAGGATGAAAAAGTGCTTGACAATACTAATCCTTCGGGGAATCGAACCCTGTCTCTGCTAGCTTACTGCTCAATTCCCAATTGAAAAGCAGCGTTTTGCTTCTACACCAAGTGCGCTTAACATTTTGTGGACAGTGAGTCGGTGCAAGCGGCAAAAAGAAATGAGGATATCAACAGGCAAAAATCTTGAATTAACGTATAGCGCCCTCGGGGAGTCGAACCCCGTCTCTGCTCTGTATGGGAGCTGTTTCGACACTACAGGAAAGCAGTGTGTTACCGTTACACCAAGAGCGCTTGGCGACTTTGCACAACGAGCCGGTGGTAGCGACAAAAAATGAGCTCTTCAACGGCGAAAGATACACACAAACCCCGTCTCTGCTCCGTCTATAAATTGCAGGTATACAGGCAAGCAGCGTGTTACCTCTACACCAAGGGTGCTTGATGGTCTTGAGGAAGTGAGTCCGTCCAGCGTCAAAAGAAATGAGGATATCGTCAAACAAGCAAAAATCTGGAATTGACATATCACGCGCCTTCGGGGAGTCGAACCCCGGCCTCTGCTATGTAATCTCTTCGACCGTCAACGATAGGAATGCAGTGTGTTACCATTACACCAAGGGCGCTTGACCTCTTGTCGAGAGCGAGTCTGTACTAGAGACCGAAAATAAAGAGGCGTTCATCAAAGACAAATTGTAGGCATATTTACCAATGTGCCCTCGGGGAGTCGAACCCCGTCTCTGCTCTGCCGATGAGTTGCAATTGCACAGGAAAGCAGCGTGTTACCATTACACCAAGAGCGCTTGACGATCTTGAGGAAGCGAGTCCGTCCCAGAGGCGAAAAGAAAGGAGGATATCGTCAATGGACAAAAATTTGAAATTGGCAGCACGCGCCCTCGGGGATTCGAACCCCGATCTCTGTTATTCAAGTCTTTGGCACTCTTACCGACAAGGGTGCAGCGTGTTACCGTTACACGAAGGGCGCTTGAGGAATTGTCTACCGCTGAGAGGGTGGTAGCGACCAAGAACAAAGAGGCTTTCATCAAAAATCGACCTTCTGCCTTCGAGGATTCGAACCCCATCTCTGCTGTCATACTGTGAAATTGCGAATCGAAAAGCAGCGTGTGACCTCTACACCAAGCATTCAAGGTAGACTAGACGACCACCGTTGGACACACCGCCGCCCCGGAACGGACCTCCATAAATGAAATGCGATCACGCGTGCAGGTTATGTACGTGCTCAATTCAATCGCCGCCGTACATGCTTCAATGTCAGCTCCCGCCATCGCCGAACCCGACGGCGAGGAGGTGGGGCGACGGCGAGGATCATTACGTGTGTGGGGCACGTTGCAGGGCGGCGGAAGGCGAGCCGGCTCGGCGGCAGGGAGCGGTGACGCAGGGGGACCCCGGGGAGCGCGGCGCTTCGTGTGGCTCCTGTGCAGCCGGGAGTCGCTAACTCCGTGATGCGACAGGCGAACCAGGCCGTGGCGCCGCGCGCTTGCGTGCGGGATCATCATCGATGGCACAGACGGGGCTTCTTTTCACGTCGGTCAAAAGCCGTCCCGTACCCGTAACCCGCAATATCCCGCGATCCCGCTTCCCCTCCATTCCTTCAATCCCCGCTTTCCTGCTTTCTCTTACTCGATACAGCGTACATGACGGACGCCGCCGCGCCCGCCCCTGACGCCACCGCCGCCGCCGCCGCCGCCGACGTGCCCATGCCCGCCGCCGCTGTCGAGGGCGCGAAGACGACCGAGATGGACCTCGATGTGAAAGACCCTGAGGGCGACGCCGCCGCCGACCCCATTCCCCCCACCAAAGACGCCGCCGTACCCACACCCGCACCCACACCCCCCCGCCCCGGTGCCACGACCGCCGCGCACCTCGCCGCCCTGCTCGCTGGCGCGCTCGGCGACGCGGACGCGCTGCGCGACGAGCTCGCGGGGGCCAAGCGCCGGGCGGAGCGCGCTGAGCGGCTCCTCGCGACGTTTGGGGCCGTGGCGGGGACGATGTCGGCTTCTGCTGCTGCTGCCGCCGCTTCTGCGGCGACTTCCACTGCGTCTACTGCTACGGCTACCTCTGCTACTTCTGCTGCTCCTGCTCCGACTACGTCCACGCCTCCTTCGGCACCGCCCGCAGCAGCGGCCACGACCGCCGAGGCGAAGCCCACTTCACCAAGTACGAGTACAAGCCCGGCGCTGCCCGCGGAGACGGTCGCGCTGCTCGTGTCGCTCGACGAGCGCACCGTCCGCGCGGAGCAGGCGCGGGATGAGGCTGTTGCGCGTGAGTCACTTTCTTTTTTTAATTGTTTTTTTGGTGTATGCCGTCCTATCGCCCCTCCTCGCTTCCCTTCCCTTCCCGCCTTATCCTCCCCCTCACACCCTTACTCACACTTACTCATCCCCAGGCGCCCGCCTCCTCTCCGAAAACTGGGCCCAGCTCGCCGCCTACCTCGCCGTCATCGACGCCCGCGCCGCCGACGCGCGCCTCGGCTTCGCGCGCATCGTGCAGGAGGGCGGCGGCCGCCTCGTGCTCGTCGACGTCCCGCTCCCGAGCGCGGAGCACCCCGCGTCGCTCTCCTCGTACGCGGCTTCGTATCCCGCAGCGTCGGCGTCGGCGTATCCGTATTCGTCGTACGGCGGAGGCGCGGGGGCGGGCGGCGCGTGGGGCGCAAGCCGTGACAGCCACTACGACGAGCCGCCGATGCCGCCGCCGCCGCGCCGGGCGAACACCGGCACCAACACGCACGCGGGCGCGGGGCCGTTCGGCGGGCTGCCGCTCCCGCCCTTGCCAAACACCAGCTCGGGCGCGGGCGACAGGAGCAATGGGAACGGGAGGCGCGCGCGCGCGGAGAGCATGGATGGGATGGGGTACGCGGGCGGGCAAGGAGGACAAGGAGGGTACCCGAACAAGCGCGCGCGGGGCGAGGGGGAGTATGAGGTGGGTTTCTGTCTTTTTGTCTACCTTCATCTGCACCGCCCACCACTTTGCCGCCCCCCCCCCTTTTACTCTGTGCGATGCTGACGTGCCCACAGTACCACGCGCCCTACCCCTACGCGGCCCCGCACGCGCACGCACACGCGCACGCGCACGCGCGCTACCCCGCCGCCGCCACCTCCTCCACCGCCGCCTCGTCCTCGGCGCGCCGGCAGGGCACGCTGCCGCACGCGCACCACCGGGAGTCCACGCATTCCGGACGCGATTCGGGGCGCGAAGGACGCGAAGGCCGCGAAGGCAGGGAAGGCAGGGAAGGAGGAAGAGAAGGAGGGCGCGACCGCTCCCCGAGCACGGCGTCGGACGACGTCGACGAGATGCTCCTCGCGAGCGCGAACGGCTCGCCGCGCGCGCACCCCGCGTCGCACCCCGCCTCTTCGCACCCCGCCTCTTCGCACCCCGCCTCCTCGCATCTCGCGTCCGCGCACCCGCACCCGCTGGCCTCGGCGCACCCGCACGCGCACGCGCCGCACCAGCAGGGCGCGGTGCAGCGCTCGCCCGAGTGGCGCACGGGGGTGGAAAGGAGCGGGACGCTGCCGGCGCCGGAGCGGAGCGGGAGCCGGGGGGAGTATGTGTATGGCGGTGCGGGGGGGAGTAAGAGCGGGAGTGTGGGTGCGGGTGCGGGCGGGCGAGTGTGGGCGGGGCGGGGGAAAGGGGGGAAGGGTGCGTTTATTTCTTTTCTTTTCTTTCCTTTTTTTGAGTTCGGGTGCCCGACGTGCGCCTTTTCGACCTGTTGTCGTTTTTTGCGTCGTTCGGACGTGCGCGAGTGGCCGTTCGGCGCTCGCCTCGCACGACGCGGGTTTCGGCCTGGCTTCGGCTCTTGGCTCCAGTTTCGACTTCCGATGCCGCCTTGCCGCTCGACTGCCATCTTCGATCCATCCCCCTCCTTCCGCGCACATACTGCGTACTGCGTACTGACTCCCCGCCCCAGACTTGCACGCGTTCCCGTACGCCCCGGTGGCGGTCGCGGGGCAGACGCCCGCCGTGGGGCCCGTCGCTGTGAGTGCTCCTGTTTAATCCTCTCTTCTTTGTCGGTCGCCACCTTCCGTCTGCCGAGTATCCGTTGTCGAGTCGCTTCTCTCCACCCACTACCACCCGCTCGGCTCGCTCGACCCCCTCCTCCATTCTTCTTGCATTCCCCCCTTCCCTCCCACTCTTACCCCCCCTCCCCTCTTCCTCTCTTTAACCTATGCTAACCCCCCCCAGACCCCCTTCCCCGCGACGAACGCGGCGAACCAGCGCATCTGCCGGCAGTGCGGCCTCCCGGGGCGCTACAAGGAGGGCAAGTGCGTCGAGAAGTGGGGCCCGGGCCCGTTGGGGCCGGGGACGGTGTGTGATCGGTGCGTCTGCGTTTTCCTGCTTGTTGGGCGATTTTGGGAGGTGCCGGAGGGACGGCCGAGGTGCCTCGTGTCGTAGTGCCCGGGCGAGGATGGCGGGCACAGATCGCTCGTTGGCGTTGCAGAGGATGGGGACGGACGTCGCAGAGCACCAGCCGTCCATATCGTATGCTCCGACGACGACTTTCCATTATCGTAATACTCGTCCGCTTCCGGTCGCTAACGCGCTTCCCCCAGATGCCGCAAGAAAATGAAGCGCGTCGAGCGCCGCGGGACGCTCGAGCAGCAGTCGCTCCAGCAGGCCGCCGCCGGTGCGTCTTCCTTCCCCTTCCCCCTCGAAACGCACCGCTGACCCCGCAGCAGTAACGCCCCCCGTGCTCGTCGCGACCTCCGCGCGCACTCTTCCGTGCACCGCACCGACACGCTCCCGTACCGCGACCCCGCCCCGCCCCCGCGCAAGAAAGCTCCATGCGCTCCTCGCTCGCCTCGCCGCCGCGCCCGCCGCCCGCCGCCGCCGCCGCCGCCACCCGCCCCGTCCACGCCCGCGGCCCCGAACGCGGGGCGCATCATCAAGAACCGGCTGACGCCCGCGCCCGCGGCGGGCGGCGCGCCGGGGCTGCTGCCGCCGCTCAGGACGCACAGCCCGATGGAGGTGGACGAGGACGACCTGGACGCGGACGCGGAGGCGGAGGTGGACGAGATCGACGGGGGGGACGCGGAGGGGGAGGTGGACGCCGAGGCGGAGGTCGAGGCGGACGGGGACGGGGACGGGGACGCGGAGGGCGAGGGCGAGGGCGACCCCGAGGCGGACTTGCTCGAGGCGGTGGACGCGGCGGAGGCAGCGAGTAACAGTACGGGGTCGGGCGGGCGCGGGGGGCGCATGAAGTCGGAGGATTAGCCTGCGCGGACTTGCTGTTTTGGTTCGTGAACGTTTCGTTTTGTTTCTGCATTGTAACGCTACATACATACATTTCCCTCCCCTCCGGCTCCTCGCTATCCGTTCTTGTTGTGCATAGACCTCCCTCTTGTTCCCTTACGCATTCATACGCCCTCCCCTCACGCACATATACCTCCTACGAACAGCCGACGCCCTCCATACCAGACTAAAAGTGTATTTATCATATGGTAGTAATGAATTTTGACATCTAGAACTCCTTCGTCCCGCTTTCTAACTATCCCGTGTTTTCGTCGCGATTCTCCGAGTCGAAGCAGGACTGGGTTTTTCGAAGCCGCTATTGCTCTTGGCAAGCGCCACAAGGTAAGTTCCGAAGTGGGTGCGAAGTGTTAATCATCTCGAATCCGAAGTGGGGCGGCCTATTGTCGGGCACGAGCGATCGGGAGCATGCGCAGCGCCTAGCGCCCGCCGTCGCGGGCGTGGCTTGTTCCCGGCCCGCCACTGGCATCGCGCATAAATATTCCCCGACCCGCGTCAAGGTGAGAATATTCCCGGCTCGCGCGCTCGCGCGCTCGCGCGAAAATCTCCCCCGACGCAAGCGCCACGCGCCACACCATCCTGATACACCGCAAACAGATTGGTCTGTACGTAGCTCGTCAGATGATATTTCTGGTGCTGATACGGGACCCTGGACGCGGGAGCGAATTCGAAGGCGCATAGCCCGCCTGCTGACTGATACGTCCGAGGCCCGCGACTTTG